AGAGAGAGAGAGAGAGAGAGAGAGAGAGAGAGAGAGAGAGAGAGAGAGAGAGAGAGAGAGAGAGATGAGGGGCCGAGGAAGGGGGGAGGGCTGCTGGGAAGAGGAGGGGGCCCTGGGGTGTTGAAGGTGCACAGCGTTGTCAATTTCCTTTTTTATTTCTTTTTTCTTTTCGCTGTATGTTTCTGTTCGTGTGGTGTGTGTGTGTGTGTGTGTGTGTGTGTGTGTGTGTGTGTGTGTGTGTGTGTGAGAGAGAGAGAGAGAGAGAGAGAGAGAGAGAGAGAGAGAGTGCATCCGTCGGTTGCCTCCACCTTTTTACTGCATCACCTGTCGCGTTTGTTTTTGCGAGCGAAGTCGCAACAAGTCATCTAGTGATGTTGAGCGCTCATGAAGATCACGCAGAAGAAGAGGGGGTGGGGTTGGGGGAACGAGAATGAGGAGAAACGGTCTCTTTCCCCTGATCTTCGTGATCTTTCATCATCTGTAGGCCAAGGGGGAATGAGTGCCCTTTATAAATTGATCATGGCAAGAAGATAGTAAATGGGAGAGTGAAAGAACGGAATGAAGATGATGAAGGGGACGTAGGAAGGTGAAGGGCCGATGAATGAGCGACGGAGGGAGGGAAGAAGAGCAGCAGTGGAATGGCGGACAACATTCCCCCTTGACAAGCAGATGACGAAATCTCTCGAAGATCCCGCAGAAGAGGAGGGGGCGGGGTTGACGGAGGGAGGATGATGGGGTTGAGGGAAGGAGGATGACGAGAGAGCGTTTTTTCTTGCCCCTGATCTTCGTGAGATTTCACCATCATGTACACTCTCACACTTTTTCCATTCCTGTCAAGTGTGAGTGTGTAAGTGATGCATCTTTATGATTCGCCAGGTGAAAGGAACCGAGCTGATGCTCTCCAGAATGCATATGGACCCAGGACCACGAGAACCTGCTTCTATTAAAAAGAAAGAAGAAGAACGCTGGTCCAGTCCTTCGGGACATCCGTTAAAATTGGAACGTTGCAGAGGAAGAAGATTAGCATGGCCCCTGCGCAAGGATGACAGGCACAATTCGAGAAATGGTCCCGGTCCATTGTAGTCTTGGAGACTTCTTCATCAACTTGGCACTGAAACGGTATTCACCTGTTAGCAGTAGCGAATGCAGATCCCAGGGTTCGATCCGTAGTTCTTACCTTACCTGTGTACAGTATCTGTGTCGACCGCGAGAGTTGAACCCGTGACCTGTGTATTCACAACAGTTGGTAGGCTGTCGTAGGTCCGCAGGTTGTAGGGGTTCGATCTGTAGACCTGTTGGATAGAGGTCGTAGTGAGGCCTAGAGGTCGTAGCTGTAGGTGTCCTGAGAGGTCAAGGTCGTAGCTGCTACAGTCCTGAAAGGTCAAGGTCGTAGCTGCTAGAGTATTCGAAAGGCCAAGTCTACAGACTTCCGGAAGGTCACAGTAGTGGCCTTTCAAAGTTTGCTCACGTTTAGACAGAGGCAAGTGGGCAAGTGGTGAGCCCAACTGCGGTACGTTGGCAGTGCGACTGCATCGGATTGGCAGTGCAAACCCATGCAGTCAGCGGTACCAGGCCCAGTCAGTCACAGTCCAGTCAAGCAAGTACCGTGTGGGACTGTGTGCACCAGGGGCATGGGAAAGGGGCAGACCAACGAGCTACAGAAGTATAAATCAAGGGGCAGCGCCCAGCCATTCATTCATTCCTGCGCAAGCCATGCGGAAGCGCTGCTTGAGCGACTTGTGCGAGGTGGTCTGCAGAGCGCCCGAAGACGAAGTGGGCAGAGTAGAGGTTGAGTAGCCATAGCCAGCAGGGCTGAGCGGCCATAGCCGCCGTAGGTGATAGGCGAGTGTGGTGTGTGCATGTGTGTGAGACTGTGTTGCGTGTGGAATATCCAGGGTGATCCTGAGTTGAGGGTGTGTGAACAGCGGAGTTGAGCACAGTGACGAACAGAGAGTTGCACAGGCGCCGATGCACCATAGCCTGTTGAAGCGAGCATGTATCTGAACTGTGTTTCCGACTCCCATATCTCTGAGCTTTGAGTGGGCGCTGAGCGCCAGTGTGACTTGTCATCTGTTTGCATGAATGCAGAGTGGAAGAGAAAGTGAGTCTGATTGCAGCACTGCATAGTCTTGTTATTTTCACCTTTGCCCCAGGATCCTATCACTTTTCCCACTCCTTCCACATTTGTGCTGGGTCTCTGGCTCTCTGCTGCATCTGCACTGCAATAACTTACTCCTGACTATAGAGATCCAGCAGGAAGTATTTATTGTATAGTTTGAGTTGTATGTCTAAAACCTTGTGGTGTTCTTGTTTGTTGTGTTTTTGTTTTTGTTTTTGTTTTTGTTGTTGTTTGTTCTTGTTTTCTTTCTCTCTGAAGGACACGCCTGATATCTGTGGCAGCGCAGAAATTCATTGGGGAGATAGCAAGCGATGCACTGCAGTAAGTTGTGTGCTCCACCTGCATGTGGGATGGTCACCTGTGATGTCTCTTTTTCGCAGATCTGCCGGCTTTCCATGCTCCCACCCTTCTCCCTGCCTTGATGGACTGCTCTATTCTCTGAAATTTTCCCTGGAACGACGTAGCGGGTAATATTATTGTGTTAGTCAGGATTTGACCTGGTTGCCAAAATTTAACTGTGTGTAGTAGTACTGTGTACCATAAAAAAAGCCGTCGGGCAGGTATAGATCTGCTTTCCCCTATCTTATATAAGTTATGTTGGTGTTCTTTAAAAGGGCCTTTACCCGATATAGGCCTCAGGCCTTGTAAAAATAGAGCAGCACGGGCCTTGTAAAAGTAAAGCATTGTGAAAAGGTATCTTGCCAGGGCTCAGAAACGTGAAAACAGGTCAAAAGTCAAGTTCTCTATCAACAGGCACATCTAAATCTAAGGCAAAGGGCATTATCAAAAGACTTACCTGTTCACCAGGAGATGTGTATGTCATGTCTGTTCGAGTAAGGGTGTGTCTGTACGTGTA